TGTATAGACAGGTGTGTGGCTTTCCTAATCACGTCCAATCAGTATAATCAAACACCGCTGGACTCAAATGAAGGTGTAGAACCATCTCAGGGATGATCAGATGAAATGGACAGAGCCTAAGTTAAATATATGAGTGTCACAGCAAAGGGTCTGAATACTTATGACCATGTGATATTTCAGTTTTTCTTTTTTAATAAATCTGCAAAAATGTCAAACATTCTGTGTTTTTCTGTCAATATGGGGTGCTGTGTGTACATTAATGAGGAAAAAATGAACTTAAATGATTTTAGCATATGGCTGCAATATAACAAAGAGTGAAAAATTTAAGGGGGTCTGAAAACTTTCCGTACCCACTGTATATCTGTATTGTGTTCTCTGATGCCACCCCCATAAGAAACTATTCTTTTTTTTGGCATTTTTCAAATAGACAGCGCAGGATCACTCCAACCTCTCCACATTGCATCAATTACTTTGCGTGACAACACACGAAGCCCTTTAGGCCACATTAACAACCTCCAGGTTCCCTTCTGCCGAGCCAATCCCATTTTACCTATCCATCTGACCCAAGTGCTTTCTTGGAGACTGTAAACCTGAACAGGCTCCTCTATTGGATCTGTCACCCTCTGTTTGTATCACCTTTTGCTTCCCGGGCTTTTGTACCCACTTTACAATCAGTGTTGTCCACCAACAACTAAATAATGATGGATGGCTACAAAGTGGCAGGATGAAGAAACATAACTCTGTGTGAGGGAAGTGGATGTAAAATGGACACAGTGGTTGCTTTAAAAAGGACACTGTCAGGTTGACACTAGGCTTTTTGGAGGGGGGGGGGACACCTGTGAAAAAGTGATACTGTACATATCTGTGATTGTTAGAATTTCTCTAGGTTCATCAGTTGTGTGGTGTTTAGTGTGTAGGAGTTGATAAACAGAAGTAATATGCTGTCATCAGTGCTGCACTGTTATAACGGAGCGTTAATAATTTTATCTGAGACTGCTTTTGAAAGCTGCTGTGTTTGCAACCCTACACGTTGCATCCTGTGTCTCTGGGGACAGAACTATAACCTTCATGTTTATGCCAGGAGATTTTATTTTAATATCACCAGCATTCAATTTAAGTAATCCAGTTACAATGGCAGTGAAATGTTTTAATGACACCACTATGCTTGCGGGGTATGGCTTTTATCTAGAGATAAACTTACGTACAGCATAGAAATGCAGGTATAAAATGAAATCTCCAACCTAGAGGTGAAATGATTAACAAGAAAATAAATAAAATAGCTTTTCTGTGTGGAGTTTCAAAGTTCTCCCTGTGCTTACATGGGTTTCTGGTCACTTTTCACTGTCTAAAGAATCGAAGATAAGATTGACTAGACGCTCTAAATCATCTGTACACTGTAAAAACTGCAACTTATATTCTGGCATAAATAACAGTTATAAGTTGGTAGGACTGAGAAACTTAAATTATCAGTAATTCATGGAAAAAAAATCACAGTGGGTAACAAATCAGACTTGTCTGCTACTTCACTGAATAAGTGAGTCATGATAAAGCTGAATTTTACTCTGTGGTTCATTACAAACTTTGAAGGGACACAGCTCACAGATTTGAATTATTTTAACTTTGCATAAATTGGCTGCAGGAAAAATTCTGAGTTGTTATAATGTCAACTGTGTTACTCTAACTTGGAGTACATTAACAGAAGTAAAAATTCTATGTTGGATAAACTCAAAACTTAAATTAAATTGTTGCCTTGAAAATTTTTTTTTTTACAGTATATCGTTACCTCGGGAAAGGCATCAGTTGTATGGATCACTACTGAAAATGATTGTTAGTTAGCAGCCCCTCACTACAAAACAACACGAGGGTGAACATAATTTGTTCACCATGAGAACAGCTCACCACACTGACACATACAGCTCACCCGAGGTGATACTGAGGGCTAAACTGAGACTGTGGAAACGGCATGAGGTGTGTGCTTTACATCCTCAGGTCCCCGTGTAGCCTTCACTCCCTGATCACATCCCTGTAATTTTCAAATGCCACTTGCTAATATGTGCACAAATCTTACCAACCGTACTTTGACAGTATACCGTAGCTAGAATCAACAACACCTGTGGTGAGTTAGTGCCAACTAGACATTCCAGGCACAGTGTGTGCACAGATGGGATGGATAATTCGATATCTAGTGGGTGGAATAACAGACCCATCTCCGTCTGTTTCCTTCTCTTCAGACCGGCCACCAGCTCCTGTCAATGTCTCTGTCATGCACCTGCGGGCCGACTCGGTAACTGTATCCTGGGAAGTTCCAGAGGGAGACATAATAATTGGCTTTTCCATCTCACAACAGGTAAGTCCTAAACATCTGATGTAAATCAGGGACACCATGGAAAGGTCAGCAGACCAAGTCCATAAAAGAAAACGGCAGCTGTATTTTTAGCTACAGCCATTTGTGATTTGGCACAGTCTTCATC